CAAGTCTGCATATACGTTATCCAGATGCCATGCCTTTGGTATAGCCTTGTTTTGTTCTTAGCACATTCACGTTAATATTTTGGGCTCCTAGCAAAGGTAACCGGCCTTCCAGACTTGCCACATTGACATGACGCACATGCTCTTCCCCTTGACTTTTTAGTATCATTTTCTTTCCCTTGAATCGGTTGTAACGTGAAGGACTTAGAAACCGCGAGAGCCCTAGTTTATAAGATGTCTTAGTAGAGAGTGCCTGAGGATTAAAGTTGCTTTTCTGCTATGTTTCAGGTGGTAATGGAATGAAGGGTTGCCTGACCTGTAGGTAATTGTTGCAGGCCTTTATCTTTTTAACTGAAAAGCTGTTTTAAATCTGTGTAGTTCTGTACTGAAAGAAATTTGGATTGAATTTGAGTTCTCTTCTAAGGAGGTGGCTGGGTTTCTGATCGTCTCTTCTCGTCTTCTTGTCTTACTTAGCTATGTCGAGAAGTTTACTGACTTCCTGCGGCTCTTCGTGAGTGTCCACCTGAGAAGAATCGAGTCCTACTCCCAGTTCCCTGTGGTGGAGTTTTTGACGCTTTTGTTCAAGTACACATTTCATCAGGTAAAGCACCAGCACCGCTCATCCTTTTCCTCCTGAAAAAGCGCGCTTTGTTGTTTCCAGGGTAAAGAGTTTATTTCCCGAACGTTTATATAGTGTTGGCTTTGTGAAGATTAACACGTTTGTCCTTCCTAATGACCCTTTGAGGTGGGTGTTATTATCATCATCTCCACTTCCCAGATAAAGAAACTGAGGCGCAGGGTAACCGGCTCAGGGTCATACAGTTAATTAAGTGGTGGGGCCAGGCGTTTGAACTCCTAGAGTCTGTGTTCTTAACCACTGTTTTGTTGGAGAAGCAAAAGATAGAAATAGTCTGAAATTAGGGCCTTTCCTTCTGTAACTGGCACTAAAACTTCCTACAGGGAGATGATAAATAATGAAGCTCGGGGCGCCTGGGTGTTCGGTGGGTTAAGCGTCCGACTCTTGGTTTTTCAATTCAGGTCATGATCCTCGTGGTTTGTGGGTTTGAGCCCTTTGGGATTCTCTTGTCTGCCTGTCTCTCTCTGCCCCTCCCCCACTCACTCTCTGTCTCTCTGTCTCTCTTAAATAAATAAACGTTAAAAAAAAGAAATATTTAAAAAAAATTAATACTGAAGTTCTGAGGAGTTAAGTTTTGGCGGATCGGATTTTTTGCTCCCATTCAACAAATACTTTTTGAGCTCCTTGTGTATCAGGAGCTGGGCGTATAAACCCTCACAAGCAAAGTCCTTGTGCCTTGTTTACATTTTGTGGCCCAATGTCTTCTCTTTATATACATATTTTAAACGGCTTATTGAGGTAGAATTATATATCTCATGAAATTCACCCATCGTGATTGTACAGCTCCATGGTGTTCACTAGATTTATAGACTCGTGCAGTCATCATCAGCCTGGTTTTAGACATTTCTGTCGTGTCTTCTCCCTTGTGCATTTGTGTGTGTGTAATTTATTTTTTAATTCCAGTATAATTAATGCGGTGTTATATGAGTTTCAAGTGTACAATATAGTGAGTGATTCAACAGTTCTGTACATTACTCAGCGCTCACCCTTCTGTGAGTGTCTTTAAAATAAGTTTTCTATTGAAGTATCACACCCATTTGGAGAAGCGCATAGATCCTGCGTGGACAGCTTGATGAATTTTCCCAAAATGAACACAGCCATGTAACCACCACCTTCGTCAAGAAGTAGAACGTTACTGCCAGCTCCGCCTTGGGTGCCTTCCCCTTCACTTCCCGTGCGTCACCCCGATCTTGACCTTAACGTCCCAGATTCCTTTTGCCTGTTGTGGAACTTCTCTCAGTGGATGTCTCCAGTATATATTTGTTTTGTCTGGCTTTTTCATTCCACATCATGTTTGTGAGATTCACCTGTGTTGTGTGTGTGGCAGTAGTTTGTTTTCATTGCTTTATAGTAAGTCATTATCTGAAAATCTGTCCCACTGCAGATGAGCTGCTCGGTTTTTGGTGATCATGAATTCTCTTGCAGTGGGCGTTCTCATACATGCTTTTGGGTGCACCCGTGTAGCTCTTTCTGTTGGCGTAACCTGGGTATGACGTTCCCGGGTCAGGGAAGGCATGTGATTTTATAAGTTGTGGATTTTACGTGTCGTGGAAGTTTAAACCACCGATGATGTAGCTTCACGAGGGTAGAAGAGAGACAAGGGCCTAGGCTGGGAGGGGTGTTGTGTGTGTGGTTGGGGATTTGGAGCGAGGGTTTGGTGTGTGAGCTAGCCTTTCTCAGGGGGGTACTTGGCACATAAAAGTAAGCGCCCCCAGTGGGTGAGGGTGAACCCCTCCTGGGTGCAGCAGGGAGGGTGGGGGTGGAGGAGGACTAGGGTTGAGGAAGTATCAGGATGTCTGGTAGAGGGGCCAATGAGTGCAGGGCAGGAAGGACAGCACTCTCAGTTCACCAGACCTAAGAAGGGATGGGAGAGGTGATGAGATGTGGGAGGGCGAGGGGGTGGGAGAGAAGCATTCCGGGTAGGAGCGTTTTGAGATGGATCCAGAGACCTCCCGGAGGGGACCGGGAAGAAAGGATTCAATAGATACGTTAGAATAAGTGTAGCAGAAATGAAAGAGATGGGGAGCCAGTGCTGAGGTCACAAAGAAGGGGTTTTGGGGAAAGTGGAATGAAAATGTTTTGCAGTTGGCTCTGCCTGTGAAGTTTTATATCTGCCCTTTATATATGACATAGAAGAAAGCTAAGTACAAATTTTAAAGTATGCATGTCTTATGCCTACTTTTTTGGATCTGAACCCAACAAACAGTTCTGTGTTGGAGCTCTGGTTGTTTCTATGAGGTCTGCATCCTTGGAGCAGTCTTTTTAATTGCCTTCGATTTCAGTTTCTTCACTTAAGGAGATCGACCGTGGTGGGCATCTTCACAGTCTTGCCCCTGTTCATCTTCTGTGGTCCTTTGCCTAGAATTTTAGGTGTTGGTTTTCCATTGAAATCAAAGTGGTGGTTTTGTATGTTTATATATTACATGTATATATACTGGGAAAAGAAATGAATATGGTCATGAAGCAGACAACAAGCTTCTTTCTTTGTCCTTTACCTGAGGTTACTGTCAGCTGAGCTTCCTTGTACTCTCTTGGTCTCTTGTATGAGGACCTTCCTTCCTTCCGTTCTTTTTTTTTCTCTTTCAAAACATTAAAAAAATTTTTTTAAATTATTTATTTGTTTATTTTTTAATTTACATCCAAGCGAGTTAGCATACAGCGCAACAATGATTTCAGGAGTAGATTCCAGTGATTCATCCCCTATGTATAACGCCCAGTGCTCATCCCAACAGGTGTCTTCCTTATGCCCCTTCCCCATTTAGCCCATCCCCGCTCCCGCAACCCCTCCAGCAACCCTGTTTGTTCTCTGTATTTAAGAGTCTCTTATGTTTTGTCCCCCTCCCTGTTTTTATATTATTTTTGCTGCCCTTCCCTTATGTTCATCTGTTTTGTGTCTTAAATTCCTCATATGAGTGAAGTCACATGATGTTTGTCTTTCTCTAATTTTGCTTAGCGTAATAATACCTTCTAGTTCCATCCGTGTAGTTGCAAATGGCAAGATTTCATTCTTCTTGATTGCTGAGTAATACTCCATTTTGTGTGTGTGTGTGTGTGTGTGTGTGTGTGTGTGTGTGTGTGTGTGTATACACACCACATCTTCTTTATCCATTCATCTGGAGGCCCTTCCTTTCTGGGTGTGGGCTCTTGGACTATGGGAGTCAGTGTCCTTTGAGGTCCAGGAAGAAGCAGATTTGAGCATTGGGCAGAGGGGCAGGAAGCTAGAAGGTGTTCTGTGCAGTTTACTGTAGGCTGGGCTGCCTATCGTAAATGGGCAGGGTGCACTCCAGGGTCAGGAGCTGGCGGTAGTAGGGGAGTTCTTCGGGGTAAGACTTAAGAATAAGAAATGAAGTGCCCTCGAGAGACGGTTTTAAGTTCTCATCTGGTCATTAACAGTGTGATCATACTTTATCATGGTTTAATTATCTGCAAAGCTGGAAAACGTTCTTTCCTCTTGTCTAGAGGGTTATGAGTGTACTCAGTATTTTTGCCTTTTGTTTCTAAAATTCAGAGGGGTGCCTGGCTGGCTCAGTTGGCGGAGCATCTGACTCTTGGTCTCAGGGTCGTGAGTTCGAGCCCCGTGTTGAGTATAGAGATTACTTAAAAAAAATTTCATAAGAAATTTTAGTACTGGTCATCATGTGTTGAAGGAATAGTAATAAGACAAAGGTGGTGTTAGTATCTTTCTATAAGCATCTCCTCTCTCTCGTTTCTTGTCCTACATTTTTTCTCTCACCGAAGTGTCCCACCACAGCTCCTCTGGCCACTAGTGCTCAGCAGGTGTTTGCCTCCAGCGTTGCTCCCCTCGCTGTGGTGTCCCCTCTGAGCATCTGATTTCTGTCTTCCTGGTCCTCTTACTGCATCCTTAGCAGTTCCTTCTGGGCCTTGCATTTTTATCCCGCCCCCTTTTCCTGAAACAGTGCCTGGGGGGGTGTGGCACCGGGGAACGGGGCTCTACGCCAGGGGTCTGAAGTTCCACATTCTGGTTCTCTTTCTGTTCCTTATCTTTTCATCTTGTGCAGGTGACTTTGCTTTGGAGCCTTGGTTTCTTTTCTTTTCTTTTTTTTTTTTTAATATGTTTTTATTTATTTTTGAGAGAAAGACAGCACAAGCAGGGGAGGGGCAGAGAGAGAGAGGGAAACACAGAATCTGAAGCAGGCTCCAGGCTCTGAGCTGTCAGTACAGAGCCCGATGCGGGGCTCAAACTCACAGACTGAGATCATGACCTGAGCTGAAGTCTGACGCTTAACCGACTGAGCCACCCAGGCGCCCCCCAAAAGTACTTCCTGATCAGCTATGTTCTGTGGAGGAGAACATGGGTGTTTTTAAACCTAGGAAGGCCAACTGAGTGATTGACTCACAGGGAGCTCAGCAAGCTGAAGCCAGGGAAGACTCCCATCTCCTGGCTGTGCAAATTGAGTGCCTGTCTACAGGCTACTTATATTATTTCCACGTGGCTTATTGTTTTCTGTGCTTATTCTTCTGGTTCACTTCATGTCATGGACATCCTGGATTTTGCAAAGGATGAAGTGGAGACAGGAAATGGTCATTTTCTTTTCAGAGGATGGCCCTGTCAGGTCCTGATTGTCAGTTCCAAGGCAACCCTGTGAGTTGTGAGGTTGGACTCTGCCCCAGTCTGCCCCGGAAAAAGTTAGCTTTCTGTCTCAGACTGCGTACAGAACTCCCATCTCCTGCTACCACCCAATGGGCAAATCCCACACATACCCTTATAAGCCTCTGGATTTCCTTGTGGATCCGAGATGCAAGGAAACTGATCCAAGAAGATGATGGTCTTACTTCTTTCCCTATCTGGTCCTGCCGCCCAACATTGCTTCAATGAAGCAATCACAAAACCAAAGAGCTCTTATAGGTAGCAAGAAATTCAGTGGATATAGAAGGGATTGGGGGGGGGGGCACAAGTTGAAATTGAATATGCGTGAGAAGGACTAGACGTTGGAGAATGGAGTGCCTGGAGTTTACATGAAATAGAATCTCAAGGCTCGTGAGGAATCAGAGCGCAATGAGTCAGGCACTGGACCCTACAGAGACTTGTTCTTCTCTCCTCACTTTGTCTTTGTCAACACCTGGTTAAAGGTTGCTCTTAGCCCATTGGACACCCCTCCTTCTGCAGATGAGATCATGCCTGAGAGTCAGACTTAAGCTAATTTTCAGTCTGTTATGTAGGAAGACTGCAGATGTTACTTTTCTAACTTTCAAATATGTAAACTTGTCACCTTCAGAACCATCGAAACTTACTTCTGGTTTCCTAATGATATGTAGAAGGAGCATTTACTGGGGTGGGAGGGGGTGGTAAAGGGACCTGGTTTGAATAAATCATGTCCCTGGATCTCAGTTTCTTTTTCTCTAAAACAGATTTGAATGGGATGATCTGTAAGAGTCCTCCCCATCAATCTCAGATTTAAAGATTGGTGTCTGCTTGGCTTATTTTGTAATTAAGTTTGTCCTGCATAGAATCTCCCTAATAATGATATGTTCCATGGCACCTTTGTCTTGTTAGGTTCACCAGGGCCCAGTCATGAAAACCATTTGAAAGATTGCAGTTGTGGTTACAGGAAGTGGAGGGAATCTAGGCTTAGGGTTGTACCATTCTGATGGAAATAAACACTGGTGGGGATGTTTCTCAGGAGGAGCTGCATTAAGTAATTTCATTGTCTGGATTTCTTTTGCATCATAGCCTACTCATGAAGGTTACTTCTCTTGTTTGGATATCTGGACGCTCTTTCTGGACTATCTGACAAGTAAAATTAAAAGCCGTCTGGGAGACAAGGAAGCAGTTCTCAACAGGTAAACCTCAGAAATACTGATAAATAGAAATAGACATTTTTGCGTTTTTCTTGTGGTTTAAAGGGACAGCCAGGCCGTCAGACCTCTTCAGTGAAACTGGGTCACACAAGCTGGGTAGGTAGTAATGTCATTGAGTATTTTCATATATTTTTTTCCCCCTTTAAATATTTCATTTTCTTAAAACATTTTATTTTCTGATTAAAAACGTAATTTGTATAGTTCTTTAGCTGTGATAACTGTCTCAAGGGTTTGTTTTTAAGTGGCCCTTATTTTAGAGATTAAAAACTGAAGTATTTATTGGATGGATGAAATGATAGGACGTCTGGGATTTGCCTTAAAATAATCCACTGGGATAGAGGGAAAGGAGGGTTGGCCGTGTGTTGATAATTGATGTTGACCTTTATTGATGGTAACTTGGGGTTCATTATATGCTAGCTCCTTTTGTATGTGTGTGAAAATTCCCTAAATATAGTAAATACCTGCTGTGAAAAATAAGTATTTCAAAAACTAGGAAAAGATAGAAAAATATAAAGAAAAGATATCCATAATCCCACAGTCCAGCGATAATTACTTTTGTACTTTCTATTGTATTTATTTCTATTTTATTTATTTATTTAATTTAAAAAAATGTTTATTTATTTTAGAGAGAGAGCGCGAGTAGGGGAGGGGCAGAGAGAGGGAGACACAGAATCCGAAGCTGGCTCCAGGCTCCGAGCTGTCAGCACAGAGCCAGATGCAGGGCTTGGACCCATGAACTGCGAGATCGTGACCTGAGCTGAAGTCGGATGCTTAACCGATTGATCCACCCAGGCGCCACTCTATTGTATTTTTTAAAAAACAGAAAATGGGGAAATGTTTTTCCCCTTATGTTCCTCAAGGTCATTTTTCTTGCTTGCAGGCAGAAAGTGTAGTTCCTGTCCACCATAGTTATTTAGTTAAGAAGTGAAATATTGAGCTAATGAATCTAGAACGCTTGGCACATTACGAATGCTCGCTCAGTAGATGGCATCAGTGGTTGGTGGTGAGTGAACACCCCTTCCTAGCAATGTGCCCCGTGGGGGGCGGCGAGGAGAATCCTGGCCTGGGAAGAGATCGGACCCTCTGGAAACCCACCCTTGTATTGCTGAAGTTTTAATGAGTTTTTATAATCTTAAACTGAATATTTGCATTTCAAGTTAAAAATCTGTACTTTTGTTCCCAAACATATTTGTGTGATTGCAAAATAGCTTGCAAGTTGCTTTGTTGTCAGGTCAGATGTGCTTTGTGGGTGTATATTCGTGTATCCGAAACTCTTACACAACCGTAGATCCTGTTTTTGGTGATTTTGCCAACTAAAAGTTAGTTATTGTGTTTTTGAATGAGATTCTTCAAAGGAAAGGTATTTTTGCCGTATTCTCTATTTTGTATGCTGAACAGTTGGGTCCTGTAGTTCCGGGACTGTGCTTGATTTTGCTATGTTTAGTGGGAGACTTGACATCTCACGCTTGTTGGAAGAATAAACTGAGGAAATGATTAATATGAAAATGCTTTTTAAAGCACAGTACAAAAGTGTTTTAGGTGTGGAGAATATGGTTCCATTGAGAAAATCTGCAGAGTGTAGTATTAAATAGATTTTAGTATTAATCTGGCAGATTATTAGTGTTAAAGATACACTTGTGCACACCAACCTACCGACAGAAGGAGCAGTGGTATACAATTTAAATTCCTTTTCTGCTTCATGGGAGCAGTGTTACTTCTGGTCAAGTTATGTGCTGATCACATTTCCTCTTGCAAAATGTGCATGTTGACCTCTCTCTCAGGATGGTTAGGATTCAAGGAAATCACATATATAAAATGCCTGGCACAGTATTTAGCCTGTATCAGGCACTCAGTAAATGGTCGCAGTGATGACTGCAACCATGATAATAAGTAGTAGAAGACGTTGCTGCCGTCGGACTGTGGTGGTGACCATGGAGTTCAGTGATCAGGGCCCCCAGGTGGCCTAAAGGCCTTTTAGTCCACCTTCAAATGTTGACCTGTCTGCCCAGGCATCTGTCATCTGATGTCACTGGGTTGTCAGGGGTGATGGCTGATCACTTTCAACACTAGGAATTTTTTTTGATGTTTATTTATTTATTTTGAGAGAGAGAGTGTATGAGTAAGAGAGGGAGAGGGAGAAAGAGAGGGAGAGAGAGAGAGGGAAGGAGAGAGAGGGAGAGAGAGAGAGAGAGAGAGAGAGAAAATATGAATCCCAAGTGGGCTCTGTGCTGTCAACACAGAGCCCAACGATTTGGGGCTCAATCTCAAAAACCATGAGGTGAAACCTGAGCTGAAATCAAGCACAGGACGCTTAACTGACTGAGCCACCCACATGTCCCTAAGAATTTTTTTATTGATCATTTGATTATCATCCTAAATGAGGCTTTCTAATTCTTCATGACTTTTTTTAATGTTTATTTTTGAGAGAGAGAGAGAGAGAGAGAGACAGTGTGAGTAGGGGAGGGGCAGAGAGGGGGAGACACAGAATTCGAAGCAGGCTCCAGGCGCTGAGCTGTCAGCACAGAGCCCGATGCAGGGCTCGAGCCCATGGACCAGACCGCGAGATCATGACCTGAGCTGAAGTTGGACTGAGCCACCCAGGTGCCCCTATGACTTTTTTTCCCCCAAACATATACTTACAACACTTTTATGCCCTTGAAAAACAAAAAAAGCCTTGAAATCTTCAAAGCTGGTCTGGGGTTTTTTGCTATTAGTTAACCATCACCAGGGAACTGTTTGTTGAGCAGATATCACTTAGTATCTGGGTTACAGATTACAAAGAGGGCTGTATAAGGTAGTCCGCTGAGGGGCACAAAGAAAATAGTTGAATTTTAACGTCTATATTTTTCCGGTCACCTCTTAAACACTGTATATTTATGTAGGTGTGCGCTCAAGTCCTTAAATGAAAGTTTTGAAGTGTGGCAACCACTGTTCTAGGTTCTAAGAGACCCTGATGCGTCAGAGATGTGCTGTTTCGCAAAAGAGTTGATAAAGACCACTGGCTACTGGTCGTGACCCACTCATTTTAACTAAAGCACGTAAATGTGATCAAATGTTTTTCGGCTGGTAAAATGCATCTGAAAGAAGTTGAGGTGCTTTTGGAATCACATTTGTGGCTTAAGCCAGAATTTCAGAAGCAATTGATGTTGCAGGAACTCGTCAAGAATGTTTTCTTGGTGTCTTAAATGGGAAACGTAGGTGTGGTTAAGTCACTCAGTTCCTGTCCCTTGCGGTTTACAGGTTTTGCATCATCCATCACAACAAAGTGGTGTAGGCATTGTAGGCTACAAATTTAGAAGCACAAATGTACATGAGTTTATTTTTGGACCTAGGAGCTTGGAAATCGGAGCTCCTCATGTTCCTCACTCCGTGAGAATGCTCCAGAGTTTCTTGATCAGAGCTGCTGGGGACTTGGGTCCCTCTGTGCGAGGACTGTGTTCTGTAACTTAGCAGAACAAAGCCGTTGCTGGAGCTCGTGGTCCGGGTTGGCCATCTTCAGGTGGTGGTTTGGGAAGACCTGAATTTCGGTTTCCTTTTCCTCCGTTGTACTCTGGGGAAGGTTATGCCGACTTACAGGTTGTTGAGTAAACGAAGTGAACCGGTGCGTGTCGAGTAGCTTGGCCGACAGTAGGTGTTTGGTGAAGAACTGATTCTCTTCTACTCGCTGCCTCTCACTCCCTTCTCTCTGTGCTTGTCACTGTGAGAGGAGCCACCTGTGTAGGAACTTCTTGCAGGAAGAGGAGGAAACCTGAAGGGAGTTAAGCAACCTCTAAAGTTCTCGAGTCATGTCCTGTGACCGCTTCGTCGTGAGAGTGCTGGCAAGGACCAGCCACAGAGCAGCCAGGGATCCCGAGTGACACCGGGTTGGACTGTAAACACATGTGGGCGAGCGTGAGAACAATTGCTGCCCTTTCCTTCCGGGTGGGTTTTCTGCTTAACAAAAAGGAAGTGCTGTTGTGACCCGTGACATTTTGATACACTTAATAAAAGGTGTCAACTAGGTTTCTATCAGGGCTCCGGTCGTTTCCTAGCTCCTAGGAAGAGAAGTTCATGCTGTTGACGGCCCCAGAGAGCAAGTGAATGGGGTCTCAGTAATTTCAAAATTGGGCCGGCATCCCACCCCTGTCCTTTGTAGCCCTCTCTCACTTGGACTTTTGTCTGTTTATTGCCTGCATTTATTCATGTTTTTGTTCATTTGTTCTTTCACCCGTCCTTTGTTTACTGAACACCTACTCTGTAGTTGTCCTAACGTGTACAGTTTTATTTAACTCAGAAGTTGGGGTGCTTCGGAATCACATTTGTGGCTCCAGTCACAGAGGCCTGTAGGTTTATGACCGTTGCATGTTTAAACATTTAATGCTACACATTTCTCTCTGAGTACTGCTTTAGCTTCATCCAAAAAAATTTTTAAGTTTGTTTTTGAGAGAGAGAGAGAGATACATAGAGAGAGAGAGAGAGAGAGAATGCTCAGAGAGAGAGAGGGAGGCCCAGAATCTGAAGCAGGCTCCAGGCTCTGAGCTGTCAGCACAGAGCCCGATGCGGGGCCCAAACCCATGGGCCGTGAGATCATGACCTGAGCTGAAGCTAGATGCTTAACCAAGTGAGCCATACAGGCACCCCTCACTGAAGATATTTTCTAATTTCTCTTGGGGTTTCCTCTTTGCTGTTTAACTTCCAGATATTGGAGATTCTCCATCTGTCTTGTTACCATATTCTAGTTACCATGATCTGCAAACGTAGTTTGTGTTCTTTTTAATTTCAGTTCTTTTTAATTTGTCAAGGTTTGTTTTATGACTTAGTTTTCTTGGTGATTGTTCATCGCGCACTTGAAAAGAGTGTGTATTCTGCTGTTGTCGGATGGGGTGTTGTGTAAATGTTGGTTAGGTCGGGTTGGCAGGTGGCATTTCTGTGTGTCCTCTGTCATGTTCAGTCAGTGACCGGGAGAGAGGTAAGCTCTCCGTGTGTAATTGTGGGTTTACCAATGTCTCCTCTCAGCCCTTATCAGTTTTTGCTTCATTTATTTTGAGACTCTGTTGTGAGTTTCACACAAATTTAGTTTCCCTTTTCAGTATGTTTGTTTGACTCTCTGTCTTTATCTGAGGTTTTTAAGAGGTTGCTCTGGTATTACAATATGTCTACTTTTCCTTTTAACCCTTCACCACTGAGAGTGTATGTAGAAGAAGCCTTGTCACCACATAGGTCCTTTTGCCCTCCCTTTATACTGAAGTTGCCACATGTTTTATGTCTATATACGTGGACAACCCCAGCAGACAGTGTTTTATTTTTGCCTTCATCCATCATTCATATTTTAAGGATCTGAAGAGGAGAGAAATAGTCTGGAGAACACTAGAGAAATGGTATTTACCCAGACATTTTCAATTTCTTGCTTTTGTCCTTCGTTCTTAAAGTTCCAGGTTTCTTTCCTATGATCATTTACTTACTGTATTAACGAGCTTGGGCTGTCCTGACAAAATACCACAGGCCGGGTGGCTTAAACAGCGGGAATTTACTTTGTCACAGTTCTGGAGACTGGAAGTCCCGGCTCAAGGTGCTGGCAGGTTCACTTCCTGGTGAGGACTCTTCCTGGCTTGCAGACTCTCGCCTTCTCCGTGTCCTCATGTGGCCCTTCTGTGCTTGCATGGGAGAGCGAGCGGCACGCATGCACTCTCCCCTGTCACTTTCTCTTCATGTAAGGCCACTGTCCCGTTGGATAGGGTCCCACCCTTATGACCTCACGTAACCTCTGTTCCCATTTTATAGGCCTTATCTCCAAGTACAGTCACACGGGGGATAGGGCTTCAACATAAGAATTTCCAGTGGACCCAGTTCAATTCAGTGCCTAGCACCTCCTGCCCGAAGAACATTACGGAGGATGGTTATACCAGCTGCCTTAAAAAAAAGTCTTTGATAATTCCAGGGTACTGGTGTCTTGAGGTTGGCTTCTGTTGATCGTCTTTCCCTTGATTAATGGTCAGTGTCTCCTCATTCTTTGTATGCTGACTAGTATCTCGAATGCTTTTACCTCTTTATGTGAACCAGCCTCAGGCATGGCTTCCGTCACCACGGTCACCTTATGCTCAGAGATGCTGCATGTAGAGACCTCGCACCCGCAACGCAGGTAGCAGGAATGAGAAGGGGAGAGTTGGACAAAAGGCTCTTGTCCGGAGGCTCTGCCCTGTGACTCCTCTTAGCATGTCCTCGACCACTGCCGTCTGCGAGGGAGGCTGGGAAATGTGGTCTTCCACTTGGCCTCAGCGCCCAGTGTTGTCTTGCTGAGGAGGAAAGGAAGAACGGGTCTCGGGTAGGGAGCCGGAGTCTGCCACACCCGAACACTCTGCCCACCTTCACCAGCCACTTGGGGAGAGCAGTTACTACCTGAGTGTGTTTAGCCTGGTTCCTGGTTGGGGTCCGTTTTCTATGGGATAAGCTTTTTTGGCAGCCAGAGCTGCTAACTGCCGGTAGGGGTTTAGGTCTAATTTAGGGTTATTCTGTGCATTTTACAAAGTCTTTAAAGTCCCTTTTGAGCTCAGCAGGACAACTTGTAGATGATGGGTTTCATCTGTCCTCTGGTCTGAAGTGGATTTTCTTTCCTAGCAAAATTGTGAAAATGCACTGGTCCATCGTAGTGATTTATAGCATAAACCTTGTGTAACTAACTTTAGGAATTTATGTCTGAGCAAATGGCAAATATAAGCTCCAGGCTTAAGTGTTTGATCTTACCTTTCTCTGAAGTCGACTGAAATAGGATTTTGAGGCTGCTGGCAATTCTTCCCACAGACGTTGCCTATTTTGTGAGTGATCTTCCCTGCCAGCGTTAGTTTCTGGGCGGCCTTGCTTGGTTGCCCGTCCAGCCTGGGTTGTTAAGTCATTTGCAAACACTGCGGGGAGGGGTGGTCCGTGTTTCTGTCTTAGTGAAAAAAAGAACTCTTGCGCCCACCAGACTCTGCAGTGTGACAGCATAGGAGGATTTCCAAGTAGTCTCGAGACTGTGTACAGAGTCGTTACAAGGGTTGTAGCAGACTAGATGGACTGACTGTATTTGATCTTGGCACTGGATTCCTTTTAGCTGTGGTTAGCTTGTCTGGTACTCACCTGTGTTGGATTAGATGGTTCATCAGGTAGAGTCCTGTCAGGAGAACGGACACCACACTTAATTGTTTTAAGAATTCGGTGTAAGAGATTGATGAAACCGGCGTTGGAGGGCCGGAAGAGCAAGAAGGAGACACCAAGATTCAGCAGATGAGAACTACAGGAGGCAGCCCACCCCCAGGGCTGAAGGAAAAGAGTGGAGCTGTTCAAATCTGGATCGCAGGGTTGGGACCCGTGCAGCTCAGGTCTCTGAAGAGAGGGCACCCAGGAGATCGGCCAGGCAGGGGGGTGGAGGCTTGGAGCTGGGGCTCACTCCCGAGAGGACGGGGTGCGACCTGGCTGCTGCTGGCACCTCTGAGAGTGCATGCGGCTGGCTGTAGGAATGTGAAAGCTGAAAGTAGGACCAGTTCTTACCTCCAGGTGACCGTCACTGGGGTGACACTGCCAGGGCAGCGAGCCCACCAGGAGAATGGCATCCCTGTGCTCCTGCTGCCTCTTGGTCTTCCTCCAGCGCCCCTGCTGCAGAGCCTCCAGGCAGAGGAGAGGTGTGCTCTGTGCAGCCTGGGCCCCGACGTCACAAAGCGTGCGGCTGGATTGGCGCCGGACGCCTGGCGCGAGTGCCTGGCTTTGTGAGTGGGAGCAGTCCCTGAGCCTGTCTTGGAAGCGTTTCGGGACAGACATTTAGGCTTTGGGATTTGTTCTTGAAAATTAGGGTTTGGTGGCCCTTGGGTGTGACTGCTGCATGTAACTTGGTGTTTTCGGAGGTAGGCTGTCATCACACATGGGAAATAGCCAGGCCTGGAGCTTTAGGTGTTTCTTTGAGAAGGGGCAGGGTTCCTCCAGACCTTTTCCATTTCTTCCTTTAGGTTTTAAGTGTTCTGACTGAAGGTTTTGGGGGAGTGAGCGGAGCAGGCTCGAAGACCATTGGTGGTTTATGCATAGAGAGGAGGGCATAGGATGTTGAGTTAGGGAGCCCCAGGTTCAAATCACCTAGCTTGGTGACCATGGGCAGTCTGTTTAACTTTTGTTAACTGTGGTTTCCTTGTCGGAGAAACACCAATAATATACCTACCTCTCACAGATGTTAAAAGGATTGAATCATGGAGTTGAACCTTCTGTTGAATCGGTGTAAATTGATATTTATATATTATTACTTATAATCCCTCGGGCACCCGTTGAGAAAATAACTCAAGAGTATATGGTGAAAAGAATGCCAGGGGAGTGAAAAGAAGTATCTGTTTAACACAAAAGAAGGCATTAATGGAGGAGCTGAACAAAAGATACTGGCAGAAGTCCTTCCTTACCAGTAATTACATTAAACGTAAAGAATATAACTTCTCTAGTTTAAAGAGCAGTGATTAGCAGAATGGATTGAAAACACATGATCCCACTACATGTTGTCTATAAGAGACTCACTTCGGTTTCAGAGACACAAACAGGTTGAAAGTAAAAGGATAGAAAAAGCTACTCCATGTAGACAGTAACCAAAAGAGATTCAGGGCAGCTCTGCTAGTGTCAGACAGAATAGACTTTAGGACAAGAGTGGCTGCCGGGGACAAAGGACATCGTCTAATGATAAAGGGTCCATCCGTCAAGAAGGTGTCTGGAACATAGCAAAATAAAGAAATACCCCTGCCACCGTTCCACTCTCACATATGCACTTGCCAGTCTGTAAGCTAAATCTAGTTCAGATACCGCTTGTATATGGTAATCCAGCAGGGACGCTGTTCTTCTTCAGAGTGTAGGAGGCCTTTTCAAAACCCAGGCTAAAAGCCTGCTGTCACCTGTTGTTGAATTTCTCCCTGCCGCATAGGTACGAAGACGCTCTAGTCCTCTTGCTCACGGAGGTGTTGAATCGAATCCAGTTCAGATACAACCAGGCCCAGTTGGAGGAGCTGGATGACGAGACTCTGGATGATGATGTAAGCGGCGTGGCCTAATCAACCGTAGTCATTGTCATTTTCGGTGTGAGTCCAAACGGAGACTTGGAACCTGTAAGCTCTCTGCTCTGGAGCCAGAGTAGTCTTACAGTTTGAATTGTGTGTTTGAACTTTACAGTTGACCTTGACCAGTGTGGGGCCTAGGGGTGCTGACGACCTGTGCAGTCGAAAATCCCAAGTATAACTTTTGGCTCCCCTAAAACTTAGCTGCTAACAGCCTGACTGTTTACCGGAAGCCTTATCGACAGTCGATTAACACATATTTTGTATGTTACATGAGTTCTATACCATATTCTTACCATAAAGTTAGCTGGAGAAAAGAAAATGTCATGAAGAAAGTGGTAAGAGCAAATACATTTCCAGCGCTGTACTATGTTTGTTGAAACAAAAAATCCTGTGTAAGTGAACATGCCCAGTTTAAACCTGTGTCATTCAAGGGCCACCTATATATCCTACTCGTCTTTTGGGGTTTGTTGATTGTAAAAAGAAGTTGACAGACGTTTTTACCTGTATGAACTAGGGAGATAAGTAGAGACACCATATGCACAGTGAGAAATGGTTGAGCAAGGGCTCTGTATTGCCTTGCACCCACACCTCTGCTCCCCACTCCAGGCAACGAATAAAAGCTAGCTAGATGCGGGGTGAGGGACAGGGCATAAAGAGCTCCTGAAATGGTAAGGCTAGGATGAAAAGAAGTCTCTTTTGAGTATATTTTGTCAATCAGTATCTTAAAATCAATCTTGAATTTATTGACACTCGTGTGCCCAACATGGGTAAGGCAAATGTGTTGAAGGACACAATTCCCATGTTCCTTTTTCTTAAGCACCATGCACTTTAGAATTTTCAAGTCACTGGTAGGGCTCTCAAAATAACTGTGCCCGTGGCATGGCTGAGACCTTGAGGGTGGCCGTGTTTGGGTTAGAAAGAGCCTTGTACTTGGAACTCAGAGGCCTGGGTTTGAATCTCTGAAACCTTGGGCCACAAGGAGATAGAAGTCTGGGCCTTAGATTTCTCTGAGCTTAATTTTCTCCTCTCCCAAAAGGGGAGCGATGTGGCTGACTGGCCTGCGCTGACGGTTACGTGACGGTAATGTGTGGAAGGGCTTGGCTGCATGCCTGCTACGTCGTGGGTGCTCGGTAAACTTTAGCTTCACTTCTTGTTAGCTGTACGATATAGTTCAGTGCTTCTCACGTTGGAGCATGGGTAAAAATCGTTGGGACAGCTTGTTAAACAGACTTTGATTTAGGGGTGGGGGCCACAGAATCTACGTTTCCTACAAGGCCGTGGGAGATGCTGGTGCTACCGTGTCTGTGGACCGTACTTTGAGTGGCACTGACGCAGTCCGTTCTACTGCTAGGGACCTAGTAATGCACTGTTTCAGAAGGTAATGAACGAGCGACCGGTTCCTATAGCTGCGTTCTCATAGAGGGGCCTTGAGCATTTCACCAGTGGCTTTTTAAAATCTCTGTGTCCCTGTGACCGTAGGGGGAAGAAGTAGGTCATTCTCTCTGGATCATGTGCTGAGGAAACAGCTTTTTAGGAAACGAATTCATTGGATTAAAAAAAAGATTCCAGGTTGGCCTTTTTAAAGTACCAAATGACCTGGTTCCGTCGTTTGCCACTTCTTCAAGATTTTATGTCCGAGAGTGGACTTGAGGTTGAGGTTAGATGGGCAGGGAAGATGACAGGACTGCCTTTCCGGGAGAGCTGATCCTTCTGTGTTTCCCCCACAGCAGCAGACAGAGTGGCAGCGGTACTTACGCCAGAGCTTGGAGGTAGTGGCCAAAGTGATGGAGCTCCTTCCCACACACGCCTTCTCGACACTGGTAACTCACCATCGGGAGGGGAACGAAGAGCCTGATTCTCTCCCTGCACATGTAGCACGAGTAGTAAGGCTTTTTTGCTCACCGGTTTTTTAAAATACATAGGTATACATTTTAAACAAAGAATAATGATGACCATCACCGACCCTCAAAGTTTAACAAGTGCTAACATGTCCCCAAATATTTTAAATCCGCTTTTGGAAGCCCTGTTTTTCTTCCTGAACTCTCACATGTAATATGAATTTTACTAATGCCTTCAGGCCTGCATCAGTAGCTCAGAAACGACCAGGCCACGCAGAGGACTTCCTGCTAAAGATCGCATTGCTGCAAAGTGAGCCTTTGTAAAGCCCGTCGCTAGCACTCTGCGTATATTCATGTGCTAGAATCTTAGTCATAAGGACCGCTTTCCTTCACTCAGTGGTGCTTGTTATTTGGGGAGATTTCCTTAAGCCTATCTCTTCTTCAAGGACAAGATGATTTGGGGGAGGGGGGTCTTGTGTTCTCTTGTAGACAGTTCTGTTGTGTTTCGCCATCTGCCTTTCGTAGGGACCTGTCACATTGAAGTCTGATCTTTGTCCTAACGGTGAGTTAGCAGCTTTAGAAAGAAAAGATACTGATAGCTCTGGTTATGAGGGTCCTGTCTGCCAAATGAGTAAGGGAATCAGACTTCTAAAAAATTGGGCCTGTCTTTTCACTCTGCCATGCACTTAAATAAGGCAGATTATCTGACAGTTCTTTCCAGAATAGGATTTCCCTTGGATTTGAAGGGAGATAGGTTCCGTCTTTAAGCTCTAGAAGGTGTAGATCATTTGGGGTTTGGTGTCCTCTTTTAGGAACCGTAATAGTCAAACCCAGCATCCATTGCTTTGTTTAGAAAAGAGTTATCTACCTGATAAGTTGTTTTGTTTTGTTTTTTTTTTTCTTTTCTGATTCCAAACATTAATTGGTGGTGTGAATTGTAGAAATTGTTGAAGGCAGGGCACTGAAGGGAGCCGCTCCTTAGCTGGCAGTTCTCAGAGAAAAGGGTATTTTTAATCTGATGCCCCTCCCCACCCCCCCATAGATCTTGTAATGTTTTAATGTTAAAATGCTGTTAAAAGTTGGACTTATGTTTGTTTTTTTTTTTTTAATCTTTGTTTTTTTGTTTTCAGTTCCCAGTTCTTCAGGACAATTTAGAAGTTTATCTGGGTTTACAGCAGTTTATAGTTACTTCAGGGTCAGGTAAACTGGTTTTTATTTTCTAATTTAACCGACATTAAGAAAACTACCGGGCTAATATTTAATTATTGCCTTCTTTGCTGTCGCAACATGATTTCTCCACTGCCACCTCCCCGCTGCTCTGTCTCTCCCCACTCCTAAACGGAAAACTTTCTTAAAGAGTCAATGACAAAAAAGGAACCGTGGGGGAGGTAAAGGATGAGGCTGTGACAGTGCATTCCGAACAGGTGTTTCAGTGAGAAAGAAGCAGCTGATTTGGAGCAAAGAGGGGGGACTTAGAGGGGGAAAAAGAAACAAAAACCCAGCAATTAGGCTATTTCCTTATGTCTTTGAAACCAGCAAGCACGCTAGGGAAAAATGGCTTTGGGCTTTGCTGCCGTGTGCTCGTTTCTCCCTGGTGTTAAGCAGTAAGAGGACCCAGGAGCGGCTCTGGAGTCGGCCGACCTGTGTGGGAACACGCCGACAGCTCGTGGCTGTTAGCTCTCCTCCCGTAGTTGGCCCGCGGGAGGCCTGGCTGCAGCTGGCTGGGAAGACTTTGGGCTGCCCTTGGTAGGTGGCTTCACTCACCTGCTTGGGGTTTAGGGTCAGCAGTTTTTGGCTGTTTGGTTGATAACGATAACAGCTTCCGTGTGTAGAACACACGTCACACGCCAGGCACTGTATTCTTTGCCTACGCTGTCTTTAACTCTCTCAACCTGTCCTGGTCTTCTATTTTATGGAAGAGGAAATGGGTGTCCAGAGATGTCACTTTGTCCCAAGATGGTATAATAGGGAAGGATTAGAAAGTTGAATGAACTAAAATCTGCCGTCCATTTTTTGCTAGCTAGTTGAAAACACCAAAAACTTCTTCTTGTGCCTACAAATGCACCCGTGCTTCCCCGTATCCCTCCAGCCTCCCCCATCTTCTTCCCAGTGTTTTCCTTCCAGGAGTCCTGCCTGGCCCCGGCCCCGGCCCCCAGCCCCTCTGCTGTGTAATTGTCTCAGCCTGGCACAGAGCCGCTCAGGGTAGAGACCATCTCCTGGGCGAGCTTGTTATTCATGGCAGAGCCTCCACGAGAGGCTCTGTCTGGGGCTGCCCTTCTTGGTGGCCTGTGACGGTTTGTTTCCATGACTGTATTATTAGCTTCTAAATAATCCGCTGGGCCCCAGGAGGTTGATGGGACTTGGCATGCCCCTAAGTTTGTAGATAGGTTAAGAACAGCTTACAAAGAACTTTAAAAAGATCACTTTTCAAAGCAAACATGCCTGTAAAATATGCTGTCAACATTAACAAAAATCATTTGACTGTATAAATGCTACAGATGTTTCCAGCATCCATTCTTGGGGAAAATTGTACCCTGGTGGTCTCTCCCTCAGGGCCACTCATCAAATTAGAATGTGCTCAGCATGTTAAAGACCTGGTCTTGATCTTATTCTCGATCTTTTAAGAAATTGAGCATGTACTCCTCCACCCCCCCAAATGGACCCCTACATAGAGCTTACGTTGAGTCTGTCTTGAGGAGAAAAATCTGAGCGACTCCTAAATGCTTTTTCTGAGACATACTGGTAACTTAGAGTTTCTCATCTGAGAAGGATAATCTGATTTATTTTTCCCTGGATGAAATATCATATACCTGTTCTCACTGAAGCCCGTTTACTGGCGGTTTCCCAGTGTGCCTGGCCTTTCCAGATTGTTTATAAATCTCATCCCTAGCACTGCTCCTTGGTGCATACTCCTCTCAGGCCGGAGAAATGCTTAGTTTTTTAAAACGATCTCTCTTATCCGTGACGAAGCATTCCCCCCATCCCTTGGTGGCTCCAAAGCCAAGTTTCCAATGCAAAGCCTATTAAAAAATGGAAACTCTGAATACATTTTGTTCCCTGGTTCCCATGGCCATCTAACCTCTCAAATAACCTCCATGCTGGATAAGCAGCCTTCCTGCCTCTTAACAGAAACTGTGGCATCTTCCTCTGAGAGGGTGGCCCCTCCATTCATGTGCTTTACTTCTCACCAGCTTTTAATTCTCGAATCTCCCCTGGAGGCTGTGTGGATGGGAGACTGACTGTTTACACCTGCTGCTCATCTTCCTGCCTCTACTTCCTCATTAGGACGGAGACAAGGCCTGAGGTCGCTGTGGCACCTCAGTGGCTGTGTGCGGGTCTTGCCCCTGGGAGGTCATCCTTCGCCCACATTGCCTATCTTTCTCAACCGTCTGTGGTTTGAAAGATCCCATGTTTGGTTGTTGTGTCTCTTCTATTCTTTGTTCTGCTTGGCTTCATTTATGACCTACTTGTTCTCTCAGAGTAGAATTCCTCAAATGGGGATTTTCACATCTCTACCTCCGCAGCCCCCCCAACAAAAGAAGACTGAGTTATATTTAACATGAAGATGTTTTTCCCCCCGGGCATTGATTTGCCAGGGAGCTGTCCTTTGGACGTGGTAAAAAGCGCATGCACCTAGATGGCTTCAGGGCGACTTGCTTGATGGAAGATCGCGCTTCAGTGCGGCTGCGATGTTTTCTGTCCCGCAAACCTCCATGTGGCAGTGATGTCCTTCTGAGGGTTCCCCTTTGTGGCTGTTCTTTGCTATTAGGCGGACATCCAAGCCTTAGCCAAATAGGAGGAGAAGGGGGTGGTTCTGAACGGCTTTCTCAGTGGGAACTCAGGTGATTGCTTGCAGCATCTGGTGCTGCTGGCGGTGTGAAGGTTCTAGGCTCGGGGGTGGGCGCAGAGATTTTAATTTGGGGTGCCCCCTGCCTGTGTGCTTATCTGTCTTGCAGACAGTAGGCAAGCAGCAGTCGCAGTTTGCATTGACACGCGCTGTAGATGGTACGTGTGTCTTCAGTTGAATTATACGGAATTGCAGTTTTGTTCTGTCAGAAGTGGACACATATCAGCAGTTTCTTATGGTTCAAACTGATAGTTTAAAATCACAGCGGTCCTAAGCTGGTTTTCATTCCAAGTACTGCTCTTTGACAAATTCGGGCAGGTTTAGAAGGGAACGAGCAGGATGGCAGGGATTCTCAGCCAGAGGGTGACACGGGAAATGAAGGGATGCAGGGGTGTATTTGAGCCGCGAGGAGAGTCTCTGTCTTTGCCTCTCCCCAAGGCTGCCGTTCGTAAGCAGGCCTAGGCTCGTTTTGTGTTCTTCCCTCGGGGTGGGACCAGGGATGCCAATAAGGAATTGTGGGGGGAGGGACACTTTTTCTCTGTCGTTTCTGGCCAAGCTGTTTAAACACGGAGGACTCCCCGAAGAGGCTTGTGGGGAGAGGCTGGGAGGAGGCCCCACACCGGTTGTAGCCAGGTGGACTCAGGAGCAGGCGGGGAGGCCTGCTCACAATGACTCCAGGACTGTTAGGACCCAGACGCCAATGGAAACCTGATTTAGGGTGGTATCTTGGTTTGGTTTTTGTTTCCCTTCATGTTTAAAACTGTTCAAGAACCTCGTTCTTGGGTAAACTTAAGGGCACAAGAAGTTGGGAAGCAGTCGGCAGGGTGGAGAGCCTCGTGGGCGAGGGCGAGGCGATGAAGGTGCGCGGGCGGCGAGTGCGGAGTCAGAATCTGTCCTCGCTGCCCCGGGGAGAGAAAGGCTGGTCTCTTTTTCGGCCGACACTAGCAGCACCACACCCAGTTCCAGGGCAGATTTTTCTTAAGGCTTTGTTTCCCACAGCCCTAAAGCTTGGTGTGCAAAGGAAAACAGGTTTTAGTTTACCCTGGGAGTCAGTTATATAGCTGTAAGCCTGAAAATCCTTGACATTCAGAAAGTGCGTGATTGTGGTGCTTTTGTTAGCTGGGAGAGGAGGAGAGGCAGCGTTGTCTCTCGCATGATCAAAAATACCTCTTGGTTCTCTCTGTTTTGTGGGCTCATCTGGCTGGCGTGGGGTGGTCGTCCTCTTGCTCTGACTAGAGGAGCTGGCTCACTCTAGGTCACTTAGGCGCACACCCCAGTGACCTTGGCAGGGTGCCTGCAGGCCGTGAATCCCACCGCTTGGTGTTTTCCTCACTGAGGCACTCCTCTCTGTGCGGGGCTGGGGGTGGAGGACCAGGTGAGGAAGGCAGGGGTGGGCCAAAGCTGGCCTTTGTCACTGGCTCTGTCCCTGTAAAGACCTTCCTTGATTTGCCCCTTCCTTTTGTCCTCCTGCTCCTGAGGATGTGACCCACACCTTTTTCCAAACCCATGTCTACCCTTGGGGGCTGTCACAGGTCTGTTTCTAGCCTCATCACGTGGAAGCCAGCGTAGGATCTGAGGCATCAAACTTGCCGCTTCATCCGGCAATTTCTTAGGTGTGCAGCCTTTGCTGTTTGTCTCGCCACAGGTGTTGTTTATCCATAATCACATTTAAATAATCAGGGGAACATTCCCAAGGGCAGTACGAGGACCTCAAGCTCCCCAAGCCTCCCTGTACTGCTCTAGTTTGCTCTGTATTCAGCCGTATCTAATTCATTCGTTCGTCGTGGTCACTTCTTCCGTACCAGGCGCTGTGCAGAGTGTTGGCCACAGCCCCTCCCCGTGAAGGAGTTCATGGTCAGTGAGGAGACTTGTAGCTCATTAGTTTATCTGCATGTGTACTTGAGGTACCCTGGAGGGGGATGCAGGAAAGGAGGGAAGCACATTCCTTCTGTTGGGCAATGTGGAGAGAAGGTCTCCCAGAAGACGTGGTGGTTATATGAATCTGGAGAAGAGCATACAGGGCGTGAGTGGTCAGGGATGCAGTGGACAGTCCGGGCAGGGACCTGAGGCGCTGGGGGTTAACAGTGGGTCCGGGTGAGGTATTGGAACGGGTGGGGGGGGGGCGGTGGGGGAGGCAGTGAGGTCACGAGAGCCCTGGTGTTGATGGAGGCGGGGGGAGGGGGGAGTGGTCCGGGTTCTCCTGCCTTAACTGGAAGAGCCCCAGGGGGTTTGACACTCGCTTAAGGGGAGCTGCATCTGTAGGTCTGGGTTCTAGGAAGATGCTTGTGGGACACCACGGGAGCAGGGTTGCCCTTGGCCAGTTCCTCTCTTCTAACGAGTAAACCCCTGAAATTGCTGCAGGAGGGGGCTGGTATCTAGGGAGTGGTAGGATTTGTAGGTGCCCTGTGGGCAGGGAGGGGGCTCTTGCTGTTACTGCCCTTCCCTCCCTCCTTCCGACTGGATGGAGGAGGAGAACTCTGTCCAACTCAGAGCGCCTTCTCCTGGCTTGGCTCTTCTCACTGTCTTTTGTGGACCTTTGTGGGGAGAGGGGTCCGCAAGGCAAAGAGATGGGCTGAATTGAAGATGTTTTTGTCCTTCATCTTCGCACCTAAATCACTCGGCTTGAAGAAATCGTATGGAAAAGTAAGAAAGTCTCAGGCCGTAGAAAATCACAAGTTTTTTGTTACACCTATTTCTTAAAACATTGAAGGATGCTTCATAGTTCATTCTAACTTTGCCTTTACACTAGTGAATTTAATGGGAGCATTATTTTCCTCTTTAAGGAACCAGACTCAGAAGGGTTTGCTGAGGCCCGGAGCCAGCGGGTAGCAGGGCACCCGTCTTGTGAATCCAGGCCCCGTGCCTTTATTCTAGACCGTGCTACCCGCAGACCTTCTGGGGTGGAGTGCCAGCTACCCCCGGTTCTTTGAACAGGGGTGAATCCTGTCGGCCCAGGGAGATTCCATTCTGTGAGACAGGCCACGTGCAGGAGGCAGGCAGGTTTGCAGCTGTAGAGGCTTAGCCTGGTTCTGCCCCAGAAATAGGACCCGCATTGGGCGGGTGGCTGGGCCTCCCTGTGTGTGTTTCCCTGGGTGTAAAATTGGTGGTGTCACTACCTCAGCGTCACAAGAGGAATGACGTCAGGTGCTCCGTCCATGTTGGCACACCAGGCCGTGTGTCCCTCTTGTCTGTGCTCGCTGTCCCTCTCTCTGGCCCCGGGGTGCGTGTGGGTACAGGTTGACGTGGAGGACTGGGCCCATTTTCCCAGCTCGTGTCTGGGAAGCAGCCTGTGAGTTGCTGTGTTTCAACAATTGGTTTTGCTAAATGTAGCTTGCCTGTAGGAGCTGTTGTCCATAGTGGTAACTAAACGCGTCCTTCCCGTGGAAAACCGCCTGCGGTGTTACGTTCCAGGCCACAGGTTGAACATCACAGCGGAGAATGACTGCCGGCGACTGCACTGTTCCCTGAGAGACCTGAGTTCCCTCCTGCAGGCCGTGGGCCGGCTGGCCGAGTACTTCATCGGAGACGTGTTTGCGGCGCGGTTCAGCGACGCCCTCACCGTCGTGGAGAGGTAGGCCAGAGTGACGTCACGGCGCCGCTCCTTCTTGCGTGAGGGCGGCGTGCTGCCGGCTGTAAGGCAGACGCGGAGCAGCCACCGGACCCCTCTGGACTTCAGGTCCCTCGCTGTGACATGGAGGGGACCTGGTGCCTTGTAGCTTCTTGTGAGAGTTCACGAGATATGGCACTTAGCTCAGCGGCCGGGGGTTAGCGGCCTGTACACGTAGGCCGTTCACTTCATTGCAGATTGGGTCTGTGGATGAGAAGGCAGGGTTAGTCCCAGAAGAAGCCACGTGGGGTCAGTCTTCTGTCTCTGCCCACAGGTAAAGAGACACCGGGAAAGCCCTGGGAGTGGAAGGACAAACAGGTAGTCTGTCGGCATCTGACAGCCAGGTGCTAGAGGTGGGACTTTTTCCAGCCCTGGGAGGGTCCTGAGGAGTTGAAGCTTGACTGGAGAGGTGGCTCCCAACCTCTCCACCACCAGGCTTCTGTCATTACCCCTCCCCTCGGGTCCCTCCTCGGGTTTATGGCTGCGTGTGTTGAGGACCGCTCCTGACTGCCCCATTCTCCCTGCGCCCCTCCCATGAACTCAGGCACTTAACGAGTCAGATGCTTCAGATGTGTTTGGAGGTTCAGACTGTTTCAGGGTAACCGGTGGATCGATTAGATCAAAATTGGGCAGATGTGGGTCCAGCCCACAGTTGAGCCACCGGACTCTTTCACCGGCCCACTCGCCGTATCATTGATAACACGCCAAGCGAAACCAAGCCCCAAGCCTGGTGACTTGCGCACCAGAGTCGTCTTTAACTGTTACTCTTAGCTTAAAAGCAGAGAAAACAAAGAGTTTTGAATAAATCTTTAAAAGCCAGATTAATATCAATAAATAGTAAAAGTAGCACGTGGTAGGAAACTTTCAAAGTGGTTTTGCACGTATCATTTCATTCTTTACTTTGGGGGATGGGGATGTCACGTTCCCTGTGAGCCAACCGTGGCCCAGAGATGGTGAGTGCCTCTCCTCAGGCCACACTTCACAAGAGGGAGCACGTGGGTTTTTGACCATCTTCCTGAGTCCAGATGCTGTGCTCTTGCCACACCACAGAGCTGTCACCTCCAGCATCCTCCTTCCTCGCCGTCCTGGGTGAGGCCTGTTCCCACTCCACTGATGGTTAGCGGAATGGGACGCGTTCTTCCTCCTTGAAATCTGTATCTTTTCAGAGTTCAGAGTTCCTGCGTCATTAGCTCATAGGTCCTTATATATACATCTTTCTGCACTGCTTTTAGGTTTGAGGCTCAGTACTTACAGGTACTTTGCAGTCTTGTCTTCATTCAGAATAAAGTGTGAGAGAAGGCTCCTTGTTACGACTATTTGATCTTCATAGCCGGTGTGATTAGCCGGCTTTTCACTCAGGCTCCACACAATAAACTTCCTAGCTAAACTGCTGCACGTAGAAATCGTAAAAGACCCGTTTAGAAGCCCATTTTCTGTGTAGAGTAGCACTAAAGGATGCTGGGGAACGCGAAAGCGGAATGTAAAATCAAACACAGGGTGACTCCACTTAACGTGAGGCCCATGGAATAGTCCGGACCAGAGGGAAAGGGGAATGGCGGTGGTCAGGGCTGCGGCGGGGGGTGGGGTTGTTCTTTCGTGGGTCCAGACTTAGAGTTTTATAGGATGAAAAGGTAAAGGAGACAGGACCGGGTGGCTGCACGCTCGGAGTATGTATTCAGTGCCACTAAATAAATGTATACCTACTATGTGAATGTGAAGAATGGAGAACAGTTTAAAGAGTTAGACACCGGGTGCATGTTGGTACGTCGCTTACGTTATCACCCCGGCCCCTTTCCAGAGCTTCCAGTCGAGAACCCTTGGCACTTTCACCCTCACTTTCTGACTGCTTCCTGACCCTCAGTACTTTGGGACTCAAGCTTGTGGTTTTCTAGTGAAGTCCCGCTTTCTGGTCCCTTCAGAGAGCAGCACTTTCCAGAGTGTGGTCCACGCGCACGGAGCCCCAGCATGTTTCCAGAGATGCAGATTTCCAGGCTCCTCCTCGCGGCTGCAGGGTCGGTCTGTGGGGTTGGACCAGGGAGCCTGCACTGTGACAGGTTCCCCAGTTGAGTGTTCCGCTCGGTGAAGTTTGAGAAGCTCTGTGCCGTGGCACCGAGGGAGAGAAACACCCATTGTCTTCCCTGGCGCCCGCCTCAGACCTGCTCCCAGGCTTCCTTAAAGAGCAGGCACGGGGAGAACTTCGCCGTGTCTCCGGCTTCTTCCCTTTGCTCAGAAAGGAGCATCCATCTCTAACGAAAGAGGCATTTTCCGTTTCTCTGTGCTGCCGGCTCTCAGTTACTGGATTGAAGGCTTGTCTGCGTGCAGTGAGCCCTTGTGCCACCAGTGGGCGCAGCGGCTTGCTTCTGGGAGGATTGTGCTTCATGTCAAAAACCCTTCGATTTGTTCTAAAACCTTTTTTGCTTTGTGCCCTGCCCTCTCCCCCAAACATTTTATCATGAACATCTTCGAATCTTCAGGAAAGTTGAAAAATTATACAGGGACCACCCATATACCTGTCACCTAGATTCTACAGTGAACATTTTGCTGTATTTTCTTTGTCATATATCTGTCTACCTGAAACATTTACTTCTTGTCCAGTGTTTTTTCGTTGTGGTAAAATACACACCATGAAATATTTACTTCTTAGTCACTTTTATTGTATATATTCTATCATCTTATATTTCCCTGTTAGATACTTATTTTGCGTACAAAATTTTTTGATTCTGTAAGTCAGCTTTAGTTAATGTCTTTATATAAATCTTCATGCACATCTCAGGTAGCTTTGGGATAAAATTGAAGGTCTGGTCTTGATTCTTCTTTGGATGGAAAAAAGTCTGTCTTTGGGACCTTTGTTGGTACCTTGTCCATTTTGTCTATGTTAGCCCATAAGCTGAATGTTTTCTCTTACCTGCTTCTTTGCCAACAGGTTGGTCAAAGTCACTCTGTATGGATCTCAGATAAAATTGTACAACATTGAAACTGCTGTGCCGTCAGTACTGAAACCTGACCTCATTGATGTGTAAGTACAGAGTTAGCTGTTGGTGCGTTCTCAGGAGGGACCTTGTCCTCCGGCCCCCAGGAATTTTCTGGATAGAAAGGAACAGTTGTGCCTGCCATGAAGAGGAGAAAAACTCCCTCCTCCAAGCCTAGGCAGAGAGAAAGATTGCTTGGGGGCAGGGGTGGTTGGAATAAGTGGAATTCATCAGGCAGATGAGAGCTGGGAGCAGAGGGTATGTGGGGTAGGCATTTCAGGAAGAAAGAACAGCATGAGCCAAGACAAAGATGTGTTGCAGAGCCCCATGATTAGGGGGTGGTGTGTGGTTTGTGTGGTGGGAGATGAGGCCGGATAGGCACGGTAGGACTATGGTGGAAACAGCTCGAGTGCCGTGAATCTTCTCCTGTGGGCCAGTGACTGCAACTGTAGGGCCCAGAGAATTACTTGGGGAACACATTCCATCAGAGATTCTGACTACAGCAGGATGCGTGAGGCTCGGGTATTTGCGGATTACGCAAGACCTCAGGCGATTCTGAAGAACATTCAGGGACCACACTTTGAGAAGCTTTCAGGATGGTGGGGAGCTATTAGGAAAGTGACTGTGGAAGGGACAGCAGAATGGAGACTGGAGGCGGGGCCACATCCCAGGGATCACACTGCCTGGAAGGCTTGCTCTGGACCGGAGCGGGCATTGGCAAACTATGGCCTGTACCGAATCCAGCCCACTGCCAGCTTTTGTAAATTAGGATTGGAGCATGGCCGGGCCCGTCCATTTACGTATCATCTATGCTACTTTTGTGCCGCAGCGGCAGAGTGGCTGTGACAGAGTGTGTGTGGCCTGCAAAGCCTAAAATATTTTCACTCTGGTATTTGCAGAAAAAGTCTGCTGACCCCTGTTCCGGAGCAGTTCTTAAGCTGCAAATTAGGTAAATGATAGAAAGAGAGTCTTAGGTGTTACTTTAGTGGTTTAGGTTTTTTTTTCAGAGTGTGTGTGTGTGTGTGTG